CTCATTGTAGTTTTAATTGGCATTTCTCTGATATTGAGCATTTTTTCATATGCCTATTGGTCATTCATATGTCTTCATTGGAGAACTGCCTGTTTAGGTCTTCTGCCCATTTTTGGATTGGGTGGTTTTGTGTTTTTATTATTAAGTTAAATGAACTGTTTATATATTCTAGAAATTAAACCTTTGTCAGTCACATTATTTGCAAATATTTTCTCCCATTCAGTAGGTTGTCATTTTGTTTTGCTTATGATTTCCTTTGCTGTGCAAAAGTTTCTAAGTTTAATTAGACTAATTTGTTTATTTTTGCTTTTATTTCTGTTGCCTAGATAGACTGCCCTAGTATGACATTGCTGAGATTTATATCAGAGAATATTTTGCGTAAGTTTTCTTCTAGGAGATTCATAGTGTCTTACCTTATGTTTAAGTCATTAAGCCATTTTGAGTTTATTTTTGTGTATGGTGTGAGGGAGTGTTCTAACTTCATTGATTTACAGGTGGCTGTCCAGTTTTCCCAATACCACTTGCTGAACAGACTGTCTTTTCTTCATTGTGTATTCTTGCCTCCTTTGTTGAAGTTTGACCACAAGTCTGTGGGTTTATTTCTGGGCTCTCTGTTCTGTTCCATTCATCCATATGTCTGCTTTTTGTGCCAATATCATGCTGTTTTGATTACTGTAGCTCTGTAGTATTGTCTGAAGTCTGGGAGGGTTATTCCTCCAGCTTTACTCTTTTTCTTCAGTATTGGTTTGGCAATTCTGGGTCTTCTGTGATTCCATAAAAGTTTTAGGATTATTTGTTCTAGTTCTGTGAAGAATGTCCTGGGTAATTTGATAGGGATTGAATTAAATTTGTAGATTGCTTTGGGTAGTATGGCCATTTTCACAATAATAATTCTTTCAATACAAGAGCAAAAATACGTCATGCGTTTTCACCTCTAGTTAATTCTGATAGTCAATTTGTACTTGAGGCTAGTGTTGCTGGGTAGTGGAAATGTAACCTCCTTACTTGTGTACCTTTCATTATCATCCTTTCTTTAAAACTAAATATCTGAAAATACAATAGGCAGATGATACTTATGAACTATCAGTAATTTTATGCACTTTCTGTATTTTATTTGGAATAGAGCAGGCTTAGAAATGTGCTTAGGGGTTGTGATTTGAAGCCATCATAGACTTCTAGTGACACCCTTGCTGTCAACTCCTTTAAGGTGACAGTAAGATTGTGTACTTGAGATTTGCCTAATGTTAAGATGCGGCAAGACTGGGAGTTAGGAGACTTGGTCTCAGTCTGCACTAGGCAAGTCATCTGACCTCTCAACTTGAACAGTATATGAAAATTTGACATAGATTTCTAAGGCTTTCAGATACTCTACTGGAAAAGAAAAGAAAAGAAAAAAAAACTTCCCTGAGCTTCCTGTTTCAACCAAATAGCATATTGCCAGAACACATAATCTACAGACAGGCACTGCCCCCTCTCAGTGGTCTAAAATGCTTAATTTCTTTCTTGAGATGTTTCTCCTTTCAGCCTGGCATGGTTTGCAAGAGCACTTTGAATTTGATTGTGAGTCTATTATTACTTGTTCCCATTTGATAAAGCCAGACTCACCCCAGGCAGCTGTTGATGAGATCGGACATGACCCATTGATCTGTGACATCGATTCCCAGAGCAATCAGTTGACTGAGAAATGCACCCAAACTCAAATCACTGTAACCACCCACAGACAAAAAAAGAGAAATTCTCCTTTGTTTCACCTTTCATTTCCAAATATGATACACCAGGAGGGGATCAAGCTTCTTGTCAATTAGGAAAAAAATATTATGAGAGAATTAAAAGGCACCAAAGGACATTTTGACCTCATGGAAGGACTAGGTTAGACTCCATTGATCAAAATTACTGTGCTCGTTCTGGATTGGGCCCCACAACCAGCTGGTCAGAGCCTTTCTATCTGCAACCAGCAGCAGTTCCATAATTAGTCCACACATGGTCCAACTTTAAGGTTCTTTGAGCCCAGTCATCAATTTTTTTATCCACTCCTAAGGTAAGTGGTAAATATGTGGAGTCTCTTTTTTATGAAGAAATGTAGGAAATCCCTGTGGAGATAGAAAGATAATATTTGAAATAAAATTCAGGAAAGGAGCACCAGCTTTTTCCATAGGAGATGCTAAATTAGCATTTGTTGATAAAATTCAAGAATATTTCTAGGATCTGTAGTCACTTAATGGTAAAAAGTAGTTATTTTTTGGAAACGAGAATGCCTGTCTAAAGGATCTTGCTCTTAATGCCAACATGCATGATTTTATTTCTGTTTTATCCTATTTCTGCTTTTCAGTTTTCTTGCTACTTTAATAATTTTCAAATTTTAAAGAGAGTGGCAAAAAGAAGCATTAAATAATTTAGGATTTCTAAATAGAGAGTAAGTTAATAAAATGAATTAACTTTTTCACCTCACAGTTTTTATATAAAATAGGAGCTCTAGGGTTTTTTTTTTAAGTGCTAAAGGACTTTTTAATAAAGAATAATGGCCAGAAAGTTTTAAAGGAATAATTATGGGAAAGGACTGAAACTTTTTAAGAGAGGATAGAGTGTAGTAAATTACTGCTGCAGTTAATGAGGCAAGTCTAAAATTTTTAAATTAATTTTTATTTGCAAGTACTAGATATGACTACATTTTTAATTTTTGAATTTCAAATAATTCACAAGTATATAGAGTAAAAATAGAGATACCTAATACCTCTTCCAAATTCTGAGATGTACCTACTTTAAAATTTTATTTAAAAAATTGTTTATACATATGTATGCATTAATGTATATACCAGATAAAAATCAGTCATTCTTCCTTAGAGGAGTCTTTTTCCTTTTTCTTTTTTGCCTCTCCCTTCCCGCTCCAAATTCCCCCCTGCACCCTCACGGTCTCCTATACACTTCCAGTAACATATAAACTTGTGTGCCCTTCTGTATTCTTTTTCCATGCTTATATAATCACATACATATACATCTCATATACATATGCATACATATATGTGTATATTTGTAGGATTTTATTTTGCTCAGTGATGTACATTCTCACGTCGAATCTATGGATCAACTGGAGACAACTTATATCTTTATATTGAATTTTCTAATCCCTGAGCATGATGTATCCCACCATTAAATTAATTTACTTAAATAGTGGTGTGTATATATGTATTTGACACTGCCAGTACTTTTCTTTTTCTTGAAACAGTCCTGCTTTGGTTTCAGAAATACCAATATTGCCCTTGTGGTTTTCCCCTCTTTCTCTATGGCCCTTTCTCATTTTCATTTGTAGACTTTTTTTCCCATGCTATTTCTCAAGATTCTGTTATTGGCTTACTTTCTCTTGTCCCTGAGTGATCTCTACCTACTTAATGATTATCCACAAATGTTTAAATATTTATCTCTGGTTTGTACCTTTTGCTGTTGTTCTCTAAACCCAAATACCTTCTGGACATCTCCACTTTTGCCATTCAGTTTTGTTGGAGAAAATCTGAAATTTTTTTCCAGTTACAATTTCTGGCAATGATGTACTTAAAAAACCTTTTCCTACTTCTAGATTATAAAACATTCTTTTATGTTTTAATACTTTTATGGTTTAGTTTTTTACATTTAATTCTTCATTCCATCTGGAATTTATTTTTGTGTTTGGAAATAAGTAGGGAAAATATGTGTTTTTGAATTGATATTCATTTGTTGTTTTTTACTTTTTGTCCATTTTATATGTTAGTGGGAACATAACATAACTTGGTGACAGTGCTGTGAAGGCTGGACGAGGTATCTTGTTCACTGGTGAATTCTCTGGCATCCAGCACAGTGCCTAAGTGATAGTAAGATTTTAGTAAACATTGAATGAACAAATTATGAAAGGAGAGACTTGTTTACTTATCAGTTTTAACTTAATAACACTATTGTTTTTCCTCCATCTGGAAGTCTTCCAATGTTAGAATCTTTAACCTATGAAGTATTTTAACCTCATTGAATCTTTAAAAATAATGTTTTTTTCAGGGTAAACCCAATAATCTATTCATGTCAGATATGCCTTGATTCTTTCCCAGCCCCCAAGCTTGCTAGAGAAGCAGTTTATACTCACTTTTCTTCTAAGTTAGCAGAGCTTTCGTGAAAACCTCCTGTTCCATATGTGGCTTTGTAGATGTAATCATATGTCTTATTTCTGGTACTGTTTCTGAGTCTGCTTAATCTTTACTGCTACCCTGTGCCAGTTCCTGAGGATTTATTTAGCTGATTTTTGTTTTCTTTACTTGTACTTTCAGTCTTGCAGCGGGAGCCATTGATAATATATAAGGAAGATCTCTTTTGTTTTTCTGATGATGATTTTTCCAGTGATAGAGTCAAGAAACTGAGTTTTTAAAAAAAGACAATTCAATGCACTATTATTTATTGGTACTTTCACGTGCAAAGATCAAAATGCTATAGAAAGTGTTTCTCTCTGCAGAAGGAGTACCTTTTCAGGAAGGGAACATAAGACACAACTATTGCAAAAGTCATTTTAGGCACAGTGCCAAGTGAGCAGTATAAACACTAATGTGCAAATTCAGGAATGGGAAAAATCACTCTGACTTGGGATGGCTAGGGAAAACTTCCTGGAGGAGTTGAGACATTTAAGATCATGTGTGATGTATGGTAAATACAGCATCTCATATGTTAGAAAAATGAACAAAATTGTGAAATGGAATGCATTGTATGATGGCCAGTGAATATACTAAGATGACTGTGTAGGAGAGAAGAGAATAGGAAGGTGATTGGGGCAGATTGAAGAGAGTCTTTAGTTTGTTGCTGATGTTGTTTTGAAAATATATTCCTTTGAAATATCCTATTTCAGCAAGCATGGGCCATAAATATTAGGACTGGAAAGTCCTTCATAGTTTTATTGATATGAAGAAAGAGCCTGCTGTATTGATGAGCCTGTGTCTTTATATATTTCTTCCATGGGTGCTATTAACCTTGCCGTTTTCTATATATTTCAGGCATTAGTCTCTTACCATGGGGGACTGGAATTTATTGGGTGGCATCCTAGAGGAAGTTCACTCCCACTCAACCATAGTGGGGAAAATCTGGCTGACCATCCTCTTCATTTTCCGAATGCTGATTCTTGGTGTGGCTGCTGAAGATGTCTGGGATGATGAACAGTCAGCATTTGCTTGCAATACCCAGCAGCCAGGTTGCAATACTGTCTGCTATGATGATGCTTTCCCTATCTCTTTGATCAGGTTCTGGGTTTTACAGATCATCTTCGTGTCTTCTCCCTCTCTGGTATATATGGGTCATGCACTTTATAGACTCAGAGCCTTTGAAAAAGAGAGACAGAGGAAAAAGTCACAGCTTACAGCCCAAATGGAGAATCCAGAGCTTGAATTGGAGGAGCAACAGAGGATAGATAGAGAACTAAGGAAGTTAGAGGAGCAGAAGAGGATCCAAAAAGTCCCTCTAAAAGGATGTCTGCTGCGAACTTATGTCTTACACATCTTGACCAGATCTGTGCTGGAAGTAGGGTTCATGATAGGCCAATATATTCTCTATGGGTTTCAAATGCACCCCCTTTACAAATGCACTCAACCTCCTTGCCCCAACGCAGTGGATTGCTTTGTATCCAGGCCCACAGAGAAGACCATTTTCATGCTCTTTATGTACAGCATTGCATCCATCTCTTTGTTCCTCAACGTACTGGAAATATTTCATCTGGGGATCAGGAAAATCATGAGGGCACTTTATGATAAATCCAGCAGTGGGGACATTGAGGATGAAAGAGGACATCCATTCCATTTGAAAAAATATTCAGTGGCCAAGAAGTGTATGATTTGCTCTCCCTTCCCTGAAAGAATCTCTCTACTTCAAGCCAACAATCAACAGCAAGTCATCCGAGTCAATGTACCGAAGTCTAAAACCACGTGGCAAGTTGAGACCAGCCAAGTTGAAGTAGACCCTTGCTGTAGTAAGAAAGACTGGGCTGAGAAGGATCAGCACAGCGGACAGCTCCATGTCCACAGCCCATGTCCCTGGGAAAATGGTGCTAGAATTCAGCACCAGGGACAGCAACCAGACCGTTCTTCCTTTGGCCTGCAGAATGCAATGCCCCAGTCCTGGCTAGGTACAGCAATGGCTCCTAGACATTGTCAATCACATACAACAGGACCGTGGGAGCAACCCCAGAACCGGCAACTCTCAGGGGAGCCTCTCACAGATTTGCACAGTCACTGCAGACACGGCAATGGCAGCACAAGAGAGGGCAAGGTCTGGACAGACAGATCTTGCCCGGGCAGTCGCAAGGCCAGCTTTCTGTCCAGATTGCTGTCTGAAAAGGGGCAGCTGTACAGTGACTCAGGAAGCTCCAGTTCTCGAAATAGCTCTTGTTTGGGCTTTCCACATCGGGAAAACAGCCCCTCGCTTCTGCCTCCAGCCACTGGGCGCAGAACATCAATGGTAAGTAAAGACAGACAGCCTGACTGCTCATGGAACTTTCACAAGAGGTGTTCCACTCTGGTCACTTCTTAGCCTTCTCTTTTCTATTTTTGTGTGTTTATAGGCATGTGTTGAGAGAGAGGGAGAGGAGGAGAGAAAGGTTCATATATGGAGAGTTAAATTCACTGAATATATTCAGTTAAATTCAATTCATAAAATAAACTTATTGAAAACTTACTGTATATCAATTAATCTTATAAGTGCTGGGTGTATAAAGGAATGAAATACCATCTCTGCTCTCAAAAGGCTCAATGTATGGATGGGAAATTGGACAGGTAAACATGTAAATGTGATCAAGTGTAAGGTGCCATGCTAGAGCAGGTGATGGGCAAAGGAGGGAGAGGTCAGGTCTTTGTGGATGGGCCTGAAAAAACTTCATAGTTGAAGTTACTTTTGAACTGAGCCTTGAAAGATGTGGTGAGTTTCTCTGAACCTGGGAGGACTGGAGTGCATAGAAAAAGGCCATCCTAGTAGAAGGAGGACACAGACAGAGGCTAAGAGGTGTGACATAGCAGGGCTGTCTGGGGGACCATGCATGTCTGGAGCACAGGGTAGTAGAGGAGCTACAGAGAGAGAAAAGACTGGAGAATGGGGTATGGAGGCCTTGCAGGAAGACATTGGAGAACCCATTAAAGGATATGCAGCAGAGAAGTGACTGGATCAGAGTTGCACTTCAGAAAATTCTTTCCATCAGAGTGTGGAAAATGGATCAGAGGAAGGATCATTTGTAACCTTGAGTTGCCTTTGTCTCACTAAGGAAGGAGGGTGTGCTCCATTGTTTCAATAGCTCTGACATTTGAAAGTCATATATATGTATTTGTTGATAACTTCACAAAGACTAAAATCAATATTCTATGGATTTTAATTCTGTTCTCTCAAAGACCACTGTGGGCTAAACATTCCCTAGCCATTGTGAGACACAATGGATATTTACTGTAGATTCTTCTCAGTTCTGGGGGGGGGGGGAATGACATAGGCTTTACCCATAGTTCCTAACAACTTTTTTCCATTAAGAAGAGAAAATCCCCCAAGTTAATAGGGGAATTTACCAGCTGAGTTCATTTGGTTGAGCTAACATACTTACCTTTTTCTTTGTTTCATTCTTTGTGTTAATAATGATTGACTTGATTATAAATCAATAAAAAAGTTTAAAAAATAATAATGATTGACTCCCTCCACCCCAGTTTCATATCTCTTATGAGTTTAGAGATACTTTGTTACTGTGCTAATGCCGTACTTTGAGGAGGAATCATCCTACTTAGATTTTTCCTAAAATGCTTTTTTCCCCCAAATGGATACTCATTTCTTGTCAGTGACCAGCCATCTACTCAAGAGACTATGTTTAAGATTATTGTATAGCCAGGAGGAGGGTAGAGCTCAGTGGTAGAGTGCATGTTTAGCATGCACGAGGTCCTGGCTTCAAGCCCCAGTACCTCTGTAAATAAACAAACAAACAAACAAACCTAATTACCTCTCACCTCAAAAAAAATTTATTGTGTGGGTACTTGGAACCCTGTTCCAAACTATAGCAGGATTCTCAACTCTGGCTTGAGTTAGAGTCACTGAAAGCTTTAAAAAAATCTCCATGCCCAGGACTCATCCATCAAGATCTCTGGAGGTGGGATCCAGGATCAGCATTTTGAAAATTCCCTTGGTGATTGCAGTGTGCAGCCAGGGTTGAGAGCCACTTGCCAGTAGCCACTGCTTCTTGTCTGCATTTGTGAAATCAGAATGACAATTTTCATCATTTTCTCCCCCTTGTACCTCCTTTCATGTGAGAGGATTGGCGGAGAATTGAGGGAGGAACAGCAGTATTTAGTTGAAGCAGATTTTCTTAATCTCAGGTTATCTTTTGGGAGAGACCAGCCATGCTGAGGAGCCTGGAGAAAAGATGATGAAGGTGATGGGCCTCCTTTATCTTTTCATCTTCCTCTTCCTTCCCTGTTTATGTTGCTAGGAATTACAAATAATGCCTTTGGCCACAGAGCTTTGCTACTTATGGTCACTTTTTCCCAAGCCTCTTACAGAGTTGACCAGCCACTTCAATCCCCAAATGGTGGGAAGATTTGGAATTGAGGTCACAAATGTCAACTGCAGAGCACTGTGGCTGACACATCATGCTTCCTACAAACAGAGGGACCTTTCATTAGAAATTAGCACAGCAAACAATGGATTGTGATCATCCACTTTTAATACATGGACTGTAAACAGCTTCTTACACTATATTAAGTCCCAGAGGGCAGATTTTTAGGCCCCAATCAGATAGATGCATTCTTTTTTTTTAATTGAAGTATAGTCAGTTTACAATGTTGTGTCAATTTCTGGTGTACAACATTATATTTCAGTCATATATATTCTTTTTCTTTACAGATTACTACAAGATATTGAGTATTGAGTCCCTGATTGTGGTCTAGACCCTGCCATGGGCTTCCTCACCATAACCCTGTGATTATTCCCATTTAAGGATAAGGAAATAGGCGACTTGTCCAAAATCAAAACGGGGACATAAATTAATATTTATTGAATGAGTGAATGGGCTAGAATTTTATCCCAGCCTTGTCTGACGCCTGTATCCCATTGCTGCTTCCTGCTCACCCTGCACAAGGCAGGGAGTAAGTTTAGCATATTTTTAGGATAGATTATTACAAAATGGAACTTCCACATTTTAATTAGTTTTCTCTTCCATGTTATTGCAAAGTCAAAAATTCTGGTTAATTATGGAGGGGACTGATGGAGCTTAGGAAGCGGTTGGCCTTTTAGTTTTAGACCTGGATTTTGAACCAAACAACCACAACTGGAGGAGGAGATGGCGGGTGGGATTCAGATCTTTCGGAGCAGCACCATCAGGGAAAAGAACCTCTTACACAGATGTTCATCTCTGGGGCAACATTGAGGGAAACTGTCTTCAGGAGGTTTTGTTTGGACTCAGTGTATTTGTGACACACATAGAGTCTCAGCTGGGTGGACAGGACTGGCTTTTATAAGCCCTTTGAGTCTGTTTTGTTTTGTTTCCTATCTCTTTCAGAATATGCTTCTAGAACTTTCATCTATTATGAAAAAATAATGCATGCATGAAGTCAGAATATTGGACCCAGGAGCAGCGGGCATCTGTGAGAAAAGTTGTGTGTTTGTCAGCCCAAACTACAGGAGGAAATGCAGGCACCATCTGCTCCAGAGCCACCGGCCAGGTGATGGCTATGCACTGGGGGATCCCAGCTGGGCTCTCTGACTACTGGGGACAGCCTCTCACTGCCCGGCTTGGCCACGCTGCCTGAGGCCAGCCTGACACCAGGGAAGCAGTCCACACCATCAGAGAAATTCTTGGGGGCAAGAACTGCTGCCCAAGGGGAGTGGGGGAAGAGTGGGATGTGCTGCCTTCTCTGCCAGCAGCCCGCTCTGCAGCAGCAGCAGACCTTGAACATGGATCCAGAGCATGCCAGGAGTTCTGCCAGCAACGTGGGCTCAACATGCTTCCTGTCTGTACAGGGGAGGTTGGTGAGGAGCTTTTTATTTTATTCCTCTCATCAGCTCATTTATTTCTTGGGGATGAAGCAGCTGGATGTTTTTGTTCTTAAGATTCCTTGCTGTAAAATATTGCTTACAACATTGGCCAACACTCCCATCGCATGGCTTTATCCTTCTGCTGCGATCCAGCGACATCAGTGGTGATGCCATGACTGTGGGCCAACAGGTGCCGGTGGGATTGCGTTCTGGACTTCCAGGGGAGGGACTCAAACTGGCACTGCTTCCTCACCTTCAGTGCCCTCCCAGTTGTCCTGAGCCATCCAGGGGAAGTGCACCAAAAAGTGCTTAACACTTCTTCTAGAGCACAGAGGCAGGGGGGCTGTGTGATGTGTACTAACTATCCAATCTGTATGGCTGGTTGGCTGGTTGTTACTGTCCAAGTTCTGAGAGTCATAAAGGTGGGTTCAGTTCCCATGGGAGAAGCCACTTAGCTCCTGCATCCTGCATCCTCCATCTCATGGCCAGATTCCCCTATCCCTGGCCACACACCTTGTTTAATAAACGCTTCAAATTATTAGGAGAGTCAGTTCAGTCCAAACACACAAAGCTCTGTGTCATCTATATCCTATTTTATCCTTTTACCTTTATCCTGAGATAAAATCCAAATTCCTTAGGCTGGCACGTAAAGCCTTCACAGGCTGGTCCCTGCCTCATGTTTGTTCCCTACCTGTCCCCTAACACAGCTGCTTACTGAGTAAAGCAGATTGCCCTCCCAATGTTGGGGGCCTGCACAGAATAAAGATAGAGGAAGGATGAATTTGTTCTCTCTCTCTTTGATCTGGGATATCAATGTTCTGCCTTTGAACTGATACTTACATCATTAGCTCTATAGTTCTCAGAACTATACCTCCAGCTTTCCTGAGCCTCTAGCTTGCAAAAGGTAGATTTTGGGGACTTCTTAACCTTCATAATTGTGTGAGCCAATCAATCAATCATATCTATATCTATCTGTCTATAAAATCTATTGTGTCTGTCTCTCTGGAGAACCCTAATACCCTGGGATGTTGCAGAAGGGAGCCCAGTACTGGTTGAAGCTGGTCATGCTCCCAGCCCAAATGGCTCCTGAGTCTTCTCTGTTCCCACTTGCAAAGGTGGAAATGAGGTGTGGAGATATGAAAAGGTGTGTGATCTTTCCTGCAGTGAGTTGGTGGAAGAGCCAGTGAAGACCAGGTAGATGAAAATGACTCCAGGCCCAAGCCCAAATAGGTACCATTTTAAGGGCATACCATATTCCAGCTGCTTAAGACACATCACCCTGTCATTTCTTTAGCTCTTTATTCTGTGAATTCTGTTGATTGTCAACCCTATGCTAGACATGGAGCAGGGCGCTGGCTCAATAAGTAAGCACCGTTCCCTGCCCTAAGACATTTTACTGAATGACAAGTAATTTACCTCAAAACTTGGGAGCTTCATGGAGGGGATATCAACCCAGTGGGGTGGAAGGGAGAGGAGTGCTTTTTAGAGGTAGAATACCTGAATTGTTTCTTAGAAACTGCAGGAATCTGAGGTGCCGGTAGGGTCTCTAGCCTCCAGGGGCAGGTCCTGCACCGTTGACTGGTGCGGAAATAAAACAAAATCTAGGGATTTGAACTTGATGCCTAGACCTTTCCTCCTGTTTGTCCATTTTAACAGCTTGCAACTGTCATAACAATTTATTGCATTTTAAATTTTTCACAAAGACCCCATTTGGGAGAATGTGTTCTGGAAGGATACTGGCTTCCTAGATTCTCCCCCAACCACCTTCGCTTCTGAAGAGAAGTCAATCAGCCAGATAGCGTTCCATGTAGTGGAAACAGGGAAAGAGTGGAGGGTGTGCAACCACAAGGCATTCGTTGTTGCTAGAGCATAAAGTGCAAGGTGAGGCTGGAGAGGGAGGCCAGGGTCAGACCTTGAAGGGCCATATATATGTCAAAGAGTTTGGAATTTATCTTTAGATAATGAGGCCTGGGGAACCACCGAAGGGTTTTAAGCTTGGGGTGGTTGTGATCTGATTTGCTTTAGTAAGATCTGTTGGCCATGAGAAGGAGGATTTTGAGATGCTGTTTCAGTGATCCAGGCTGGAGAAGTTGAGGCCCTGAGGGAGATGGTAGGTAGGCTAAGGGATTAAGTTTAGAATATTTTAGAGATTAAAATCAACAAAATTTAGCAATTGATTGGGTACTGGTTTTAAGCATGAGTGCTTGCTTACGGCATTCATCAAAAAATATTTATTGAGCACATAGCATATATTCCTCAAAAATAACTAAAGATTTTCTGCAAAAATATCTCCTAGAAAAGAGTGACCTTATTGTTACTAGTACTCTTTTAAATACACATTGAGTATAAAGTAGTGATCGGTTTTAAAATGTTTGTTTGCAAAGACCTCACTGCCAATTTTGGTATGCTTACAGAAGCCAGTTGAAGGGGTCAGTATTTTTTTTTAAGGAAACAAAGTACTGTAACACAGTCCCATGCTTTATGGAGTCTGAACTCACAATTGCAAGCAAATGTTGCTAAAGTAATTTCTGAAGAAGATGGCCATGTAGTCTATGAGGTGAAGTGTTAAGGAAAAAATAAGTACAGCGAAAGAATGGGGGAAAATTACGTATATTTGCTTGTTTTTGCATAACAAATGCTTGAAGGATAAATTAGAAACTAATAAAAAGGATATCTAATGAGGGAAGTAGACTGGCTTGAAGTCACCATTTAAGTATTTTGATATGCAAATGTGCATGGCTTTTCTTCCTTTTTTAATAGCAGCCTTATTGAGTTACAATTCACATACCATGTGTTTCACCTATTTAAAGTGTTGAGTTTGTCTTTTATAACCTTTTGCTTTTGAACTATGGAAGTGTTTCATTTATTAAGAGACTGAATTAAATTAGAAAAAAATGCTAAAATGGAAAAATGAAACTAAATATGTAAAAAAGAGAAATATAGCCACACAGTCGAAATAATTATTTTAGGTGACATTGAACACACTGTTCTGACTGCACATCATTAGTAGGATATATTCTAAGGACAAAAAGAACTGCAAAGATACCTTATACTTCATGCAGTAGTTTTAATATTGGTATTAACATCGTAATTTTCAAACTATTTTATGTATATTGTAGGATAAAGACATATATAATGTTAGTTTTTTAGGAATTAAGATATTTAGTGAAAGAGAAAAGAGCTCCAAACATATAGTCAAAAAAATTAGGGGCAAACTCCTATACTATTTTATGTGAATTGGAAATGGCATCATGAGCTTATAATTTTTAAAAACACATGTTCCTTATTTCTGTTCCTTAAAGGGTCTGGAAGCAATGATACCCCAGCAGCAATTTGTTAGCACACCTAAGACCCAGATCAGGATCTCTAAATATTATTTCCCACTGACAGGGAGATCTCCCACTGGGACTCCCCATTGTCTGAACAGTTCAGCTCCTAAGAGCAGAGAAGCAGGATGAAGAAGGAGGGGAAGTATATCTAAGGGAACAAGTAAGTGTGAGACACTCAATATTCTGAATGTGGATAAGTGGCTAGGGTTAACATTTCCTGTGATAGCATTATATATAGTTTAAAAAAATTCTCTTACTCAAATAATTTATATGAAAGTGCTCTGGAAAATTCTGTTAGGAATCTCAAAAAGTGGATCTGGTTGTGGAAAATAAGGATGACTACAAAGTACATGCTATTGAGAAGTGGAGTCTAATTTCCAGTCCCTTGAATCTGGGCTAGCTTTAGTGACTTGCTTGGCTATAGAATGCAAGCACAGTGATGTTCTAGGACTTCCAAATCTTTGCAGTTTCTATCCAAACTTCTTGGATCTCTGTCTCTCTCTCTCCTTCTCTCCCTCTTTCTCTCCCTCTCTCTCTTCTCAACCCCAGGCTGCCACGTAGGCATTCCAGCTTACAGATCCAGCTAGGCACAGCCTTCTAGCCATCCCTGCCAAGACACAAGATGTGTGAGTGAACCCATCTTGGACCCTCCAGACCAGGCCATCTACTAGCTCAGTACCACTGAATGCCTCAGACAACATCTCATGGAACAGATGAGCTGCCACCTGACCCCTAAATTGTGAAATATTGTAAAAATGGTTGGTGTTTTAAGTCATTATATTTTAAGGTAGTAACTTGTTACACGAAATGAAATCACTGGAACAGTAGTGGTAATGACAGAACAAAATAATGTAGTTTTATTAAAGTTGTTACATGAAATATGAGAATGGGAAGCCAGAAGAAGACATTAATGTTTGATGAACTTAAATTAATAATCACTCCCACTTACAGAGTATAGTTAATTAAATTCCCTTCAATATTTTAAACTCCATTTATAAATGTAATGCATTTGATTTGTTTTTCAAACACTTCATATTTCTAGGACAAACACAAAAACCCTGACAAGTAAAACATTCCTAACTACCTAAACATGTAGTAAATCCTCAAGTTCTCTCACACATTTTAATATTTTTTACATTAGTCAACTTCTTTTATTTTTCAACCTAAAATCAAAGGTCTATGAATACAGTGAAAAGGGAAAAAAAAAGATCTAAGCCAAGGAACCTTGAAACATAGTATATATATGCATATATATACCCTCAGTTTAAAAAGAAAAGCAAAGAAACCAACAAAAGACAAATTTAAAAAACCTGCAAACAAATTGTAATCTCCATTTAGTAAGTTTGTTGTTTACAGTGGTATAAATGTAGCAATTTAGAATTATATTGTATGTATTGTAAAATTGAGAAGTGAAGACATATATTGATTATTTTGGGAGCCCGAATTCTCACTATGGGAAGAAGATGATACAGATATGGAAAGGAGGAAGGCAAGGAGGAATCCTGTGGTTTGGAATTGGATTAGAGGTATCAGTACAAACTTACGATTTGAATGTGTATTTCTATATACACATGCATATATTACATATATCCGTATTTACTAGCTCTGTTCTCTGAAAGCAGTGACATCCCAATAACAACACGCCCTCATAGTATACAGATCTTGGTCTCTAAATACTCTACCTCATTAAAAGGAACTCCTTAGAGATGTGGACGATCCAGGAGTGGGGCAGGAGTGAAAAAAGATGGTCCTGAAATACCTTGTTGTACCAGAAAGTAAAGAAGTATTCAAAATATCAGGGGGACATGCACAAGAGCAAGTCCTTGTGGGTGAACCCTCTGAAATAGTTTGCAAAAAATCATGAATTGGTACATTTTTCTGGGGAAAATTTCCCTGGCTTTCAATAAGTTGTTGAAATTGGCCATTGGGCAATTATCTTCCTTATTTATGATTTAATTCCAAAGAGACAGCTCCAGGTTCTTGGTGGAAAATTCCTGAGTTGTGAAACTGGCAAGAAGCTTAATTTAAAAGATTTATATACATCTGAAAGAGAGAGAGAAATTCTAAAAGAAAGGGGTGGGGTGGTGAAGGGGAAAGAGAAGGAATTTTTTCCCTTTTTTTCCAACAGGGAGAATTAAGCCTTTTAATTTGTATTTGCTCCTGCACAGTTTATAAGGAGACAGGGAAATCAGATAATGCATCAGTTTCTAAACCAATATATTTATTTTATAATTCACACAAGTGATTTAATCAAGTAAATTGCTCCTGGTTTTCTCAAGTCATCTAAATACCTGGAAGGAGCGAATATTTATTAAATCCCTATTGTGTGTGAAACACAGTAAGTTAGTGCTATGTGAGATAAAAATATGAATAAGGTACTTCCTGTGTTCCAGGAGTTTTTATTGACTCTGGGAGACAGACACAGACTCAGAACTTTTAAAGAAAAATTAAGGCCTGGGAAAGTTAAGTCACTTAACCTAGGTCACAGCTGGTTAGAGGAAAAAGTGCAACCTTAATGACTCAGGTTTTTTGATGCTGGTTCAGCACTCTCTGAACTTCACGTAATACTTATGCTGTCCTAATGGGGTGCTAATTTCTTGAAGGCAATAACTAGAGATTAAGAAAGAGAGCTTGGGGTTGGTTGAGGGAGATGAGGAAGGAAGAGGGCTTAGGAGAAATGAGAACTCTTAACACTAGTTGTGTCCTGAAGTCTGAATCCACAGTTTTTTAGTTTTTATTTGCATTTTCTGTATTCATTATTTTAAAACCTTATATACTGTAAAACAAACAAACAAAAAGTATAGGTAAATGAAACTTATTAGGTAAATTCATTGTAACTGCCACACGGAATAGAACTTAGAAGCTTCCCCAGAAGCCCTGTCCCAATAACAGCCCCTTTTCTCCTCCCCCCAAAATAATTATTATCTTGACTTCGAGTAAAAACTTTCTTGCATTTTGTCATCGTTTTATTAACCAAGTGCATATCCCTAGGCACTATAAGTTAGTCTTGCCTGTGTTTTAAAAATTTGATGTCTTGTCAGTCTCAGTCTTAAGTCATTTCTTTTGCTGTAACAAAATACCATAGCTGCCTTCTGGCTGTATCCTCACATGGCAGAGAGAGAGGGTCTGGTTTCTTTCTCTTCTTGTAAGGGCACTAATCTCATCTTGAGGGCTCCACCCTCATGACCTCATTTAAACCTAATTACTTCCCAAAGGCCCCACTTCCACATACCATTATTTGGGGGATTTGGGCTTCAACATATGAATGTTTAGGGACACAAACATTTAATCCACAATAGTCTCTTACAATCATCAATCTCCCCTCCCATACCTTTCCTTTAAATTGATCTCTTAAAAAACTTGATTTTTTGACCTGTAGAATCTCCCAACCTTCTGAGCTTTGCTGATTACATATTATGGTTCAGTTTAGCATATTCTTCTGTCCTCTTTATTTTCTGCAAATTGGCAGCTGGTTTCAGAGATTTGATCCTTTTGACAAGACTATAGGTGGTATTATGTTCTTTCATCAGGAGCCACCTCAAGTCCAGGTTTTTTTGCTCTTGCGATGTCAGCAGCCATTGATCAATTGATTGATTGGGTGTTGCAAAGTGGTAATACTCTAATTCTGTCAATTCTTTTTTATATTAACTGGAATATTTCCATGAAGAGACACTTCACATAATTTATTTGGTTACTGTCTGGTTAGGTTACCCAGTAGTACAATGTGCAATTCATATAAACATGATAAATTTTTTATCTTTTCCTCTTATATGCCAGCTTTCAACATTGATTTCTTGTTCTCCAAAGGTAACCAATTTTTTAAAATAGTATTATGTATTCATTGATTTAAACATATACAACAGGTTTCAACTCATTGCAATTGTTGGCTTTATTGAAGCTCAAATTGTACCATCTTTGGTTAATGGGAGCCTCTTCAAGCTGGTATTGTAGAGGAGAGAAAAATCTTTTTCTTCTACCCATTTTGGCTTTACTAGCTTGGGCCCTGTAAATCAGACTAACAAAAGACAGATTAACAAGAGAAAAACAAGACATTTATTAACATGTGCATTATGCATATATATGGGAGCACTCACAAATGGGTAGTTCAAAGAGATGGTTAGAACTTGGGCTTATATAGTATCTTTTTTAAAAAAAGAAAAATTTTCTAGAGAAGTGACAAGACAAAGTAAAGAACTTAGAGCTTCTAAGAGTGGCAGATTGTGGAAGGCAAAAATATGGGGAAATTAATGGCTAATGATAAGGGCTAATTTTAGTAAGGTTTGTTACATAGTTTCCTCTGATGTTGTCTCTAGGCTGATAAGGGTCTAGAGTTGTCTCCAGAGATTAGTTTTTGTCTTTCCTGGAAGAGGGGACACTTAATGTCCTGCTTTTAAGCCAACTGGTGGAGGGCAGAGAGCTTTTATGCAGGCATAACTGTTTTATTTTGCTTCACTTTATTGTATTTCACAGATATTTTGGCTTTTTCAAATTAAAGGTTTGTGCCAACCCTGCATTGAGCAAATCTATCAGCATCATTTTTCCAACAGCATTTGCCCACTTAGTGTCTCTGTGTCACATTTTGGTAATTCTCACAACATTTCAAACTTTTTCATTATTATTACATTTGTTCTGTCAGTCTCTGATCATGCTGAAGGCTCAGATGATGGGTTAGCATTTTTTAGCAATAAAGTATTTTAAAATTAAGGTATGTACTTTTTTTAGATATAATGTTATTGCACACTTAGTAAATAGACTATAGTGTAGACACAACTTTTATATGCACTGGGAAACCAAAAAATTTGTGTGACTGGCTTTATTGCAATGTCTGGTTTATTGTGGTGATCTGGAACCAAACCTACAGTATCTTCAATGTATGCCTGTATCTGTTTCTCTCAATTGCCTTCAACTCAAGAAAGCTTATGTACCTTTTAGACAAAGAAGCAATAAATTTGTGAAGAAATGACATGACAAAAGGGATTTGTGCTAGGGATAATAAATTGTAGGGAAGTGACCAGTAGATACATGAAGGACAAACTAGTTGAAGATCATAGTTACTTTAGTAAGTTTGTTTCTACAGACCCATTTCAATGTTGAGTACTGGTCTCTGGTGATAAGGATGTTTTTCTATTGCTGATTCAAGGAGGGCACATTTCTCATGGGAAATTTTATGGCCTGTTTTTAGGTAGAAAGGGGGAGGGAGGCAGAGAGCCCCCCTGCATCTCTGTTTCCAAAGGGTCTTTAGCTCAAAATAGTCAATGTGTCATAGTTGAAGAAATCAGAGCTAGAGAAGTATTGCCCAGAACATATTGGGTCCTACCCTGCTGTGATATTTCTGTCACTGTCAAAGTTAAATCTTAAGTCAATCTAAAATATTATGTGATATAAAACATAGCACACAGGTGCCTTGTGTATCATTTGTTTTTGCAATGTTTTGCATTTAACCTTCCCATACATACACTACAGTTCATTCTTTAATATATTCTAAGACATCTGCTTATTTATATTGAATATAGTAATTCTTATATTAGTTACTTTGGTGGTGAATTTTTAAAAATCTCAATATGCTGGAGCTTGTTCATGGAACTGTCATCACTGAGTTCATGGAAAAATTGATTTTGGGGGTGTGGTATATGTATACATGTATGTGGTTGCATACAGATTGGTTAAGTCATTAAACAATGGTTACTGAGTACCCTTCTCCTCAAAAAAAAAAAAACAGTCAATGTGCCAAAGTGGCATGTTTTGGGGTGATGTCTGGAAATCCTTCATGGCTAACTGACATGTTTTGGGGTGGCATAGTCTGCTGCCTTTTTGTACCTGAGTACCTTTGAAATGACCCTAGTAATCTTTAAAAAATATTATTTTACATTTTATTATTGAAATTTGCAAACATATGCAATAGTAGAAGGATGGGTCTATGGACTCCTATTACCCAACATTCAATTTCAATAATTACCAATATACTGCCAGTCTTGTTTCATCTATAACTGTGAGATAGGAAGATACGAGTACAGCCATTTTGGAAAAGGACTGGGGAATGGCTATGGGCAAAACAGGCCTTGCAAGCTAAGGAACAAAGGCCCTGGGGCATGAGTCCCAGAGACAAAAACCAGGCTCTAGGAATAAAAAATTAACTTTATCTTTGTTATACTAGTTGCCACAAGACAAGAAGCTCAACTATAAATCT